CGGGCACTGAGACTATAGATTAAATAAAGTCCCTGCTTCCACAAAGTCCGCATCCTGGTGGGGAACAACATAGTAACATCTCCGGGCAGTGACAAGCGGTGTAAACAAAACGGAGTAACAGCATGAAGAGGATAGAGATTCGCCGGGAAGATGCTTTAGGAGGTCAGGAAGGTCCCTCTGAAGAGGTGACCTTTGAGTCAGACCTTGAGTGAGGTGGGGGAAGGGCACGCCCCGGCGGAGGGAACAGCAAATGCAAAGGGTAGAGGTGAACTTGGGACATGTTTGGGAACATCCACAGCCTTGTGGATGTTCCAGATGTGTCCTGTCCTTCCCCAGCCTCAGCCTGGCGGGGAGCAAGTCACGTAGGGTCTAGAATCCACATGCAGGAAGCTGGTCTAATTCGGTATGCCCCCCCCTTTTGTTTCTTGGGCGTGCGGTGTGTTTTCCTCCAGTAGAGTTTAAGCGCTGGGTGGGCAAGGATGATGCTCTGAGCTTTTGCGGGGGGCTGGGGGACCGCTGCTCGTAAAGGGTCTAGAGCAGGCAGGCAGGGAGGAACTAAAGGGACCGAGAGGCTGGAGACCATGGATTGTGAAGCTGCCCCCACCCCTGTCCCAAACAGCAGAGGCTGTCCTGGCTGGGGGCTCACACTCTGCAGTATGTAAATTAGGTGTGTGTGTGTGTGTGTGTGTGTGGTTTATGGTGGGGGTTTTCAGGAAAGAGCTGCGGTGGGAATTTCTGATGGGGAATGGTTGACATCGTAAGTGGGATTTCAGTTAGAAAGAAAAATGGAGTTTCCTAAGGGGCTATATGGGGAATCAGGAACATAGGGCGCCCCCCCCCCCCACCTCCCGGGAAAGTTTCAAGATCGGGCTGGGAGAAATGTGGCGGGCTGGGATACGCTCAGAGAGTGGGGGGGGGGGGGGGGGGGGGGGGGCGGGGTGGGGAGTCTGAAGAGGAGCGAAAACCGGGCAGGAGGAGAGAGGTCAGAAAGGTGGCAGGGAAGGTGGGGTCCTGAAACGAGTTCTGAGGGCACCGGGTCTGAGGAACCCCCCGACTCCCGCGGTGGATTGAAGCATCTGGGGTCCCGGTTCCCCCTCTTCCCCCGGTTGCCCTCAGAAGCCCAGGCATCAGCTCCCTGCAGCCCCAGTGCTGGCGGTGAGACTGAGCAGCCTTGGGGGGCGGCAGCTGGTGAGTGGGGAGGAATCTGTGTGCTCAGCAAACAGCAACCTCCTTGGTGCCCTGGTGGCTGCCTCCTCCCTCATCAATCAGCTCCAGCCAAATGTCCTAGTATTCCCACCACCCCAAGGGGACTGGGGCTGGGCCAGGGTCCCCAGGGGAGTGAGATGGGGATGGGTGGGGGGAGGTGGGGGGTGGCGCCTGGCTCCCCATCTCTTGGCCTCTGTTCTCTCCTCTTCTGGAAGCTCTCAGCCCTTCGTGTCCCGGAACGACTCTCTCCTGGCCCCTACCATTGTGAGGGCATCAGCTACAAATCACCTGTGGGGGTCTGCTGGGGGACAAGGGGGGGAAGAGGGATGAGTCAGGGCTGGAGAGAAATCTACTCTGGTTCTCACGGGACCGGCCCAGGGCACAGTCAGCAGGAGGCTGCTGGCACAGAGGCCCGGTCCCCCCACGCTGGCCTCTCCATCCCTGACGGATGCTCCGGACAACAGGCCGGGACCCTGACTCCCTGAATGTCCTTGCTTCCCACCTTCTCCCAGCCCTCATTCCCTACTTCCCGCCAAGATCCAGAGGTCCGGCCCCCAGCTCACCCCGAATCTGCTGCTCCCCACTGGGGACTGAGGCCTCTAGACCTCAGCCCTTGCTCCCCTCGGGGACCCAGGCGTCCTGCCCGCTCTTTTCACCATAACAACCATTCTTTTGGAGTTGCTTAAGACTTTAATATCATTTCATTAAGTCAGCTAGTTAGAGAAGGTTGGGGGCACAAAGAGACTGGGGTGGGCGAAGGACGGCCAAGGTAGGGGGGAAGCAAGGGAAGAGTCCCCCTCTCTCCGTGGAGATGGCTCTGAGACATCAAATATTGACAGTGAGAGAACAGAACTTATTAAATCTGGGACAGGGGTGTGTGTAGCTGTGGGAATGGCCGGATGCCTGGGTTCTGAGGGTAATGAAGGTCTGGGGGGGGGGGAGGGGAAGGCCTGGCTGAGGCTGGGGGGTGCGGCAAGAGTCAGGGGCTTGTGGGCACAACCCTCCAGTCCCTCTCCTTTGGGAGGTATTGAGTCTCGGTACCCTGGCCGTGTGTCTCAGCTGTCCCCTTCATTCCCCCGGGGACAAGACCCCCCCCCTCACAGCTGTGGTTGGCTCCCCTTCATCCCTCCCCCCTACCTCCACCTCTGTTGATGAGCTTTCGACAGCGTTTAATCGGATTGAGCAGTAATTAGCAAAGGGAGATGTTTGATTACCTATTTAGCATAATGGAGGGGGCTGGGATCCCTAGGTACAGCCAAGGTTGGGGGGGGGGCAGGCAGAAAAGAAACCGGGTCTACACTGCATTCTTTTCCCCCGGGGAGCCAGGAGCCCTGCCTAGAAGACTCCCCACCCAACGCCTCCCCTCAAATCTTCACTCCTTGGGGACTTTTCCCTGGGGGATCTGGCCAATCATGCCACCTCTCTCTGCCACCCGCTGCCTCTTTGGTTAGGGGATCTATCACCCACTTAGCCCTACTCGCTGCGCCGCTGGCTAGGGGTGTGGCAGGACCCCTCACTACTTCAATCCTTGTTTTCAGCCGGGACTCCGGCCCAGGCAGGGGGCCAGCAGAGCCCAGGAACCTACCTCCAGGATAGCAGGGGTGGGGAGTGCCCAGGCCAGGGGCTACCAATGCTGGAGATTAGGATAGGTGGGGTGCAGAGATTAGGGTAGGTGTGGATTAACCCAAGGGCCCTTCAGGAGTCCCCGAGAGAGACGGCCTTGTAGCGGTGGACGGGCAGAACGAGATCTGTCAGGTGTGAACGGCAACCAGAAAAAGGGGTAACTGAGGTCCCAGCTTCTCCCCCCCTCCGCATCCGGCAAAGAAAATGTCATCAATTTAGCTCCTCATGGAAATGTAATCAGTGGGCTCGCTGCTGGCTTTGTCTTAATTAGGCACTATTGATGGCAGCAGGGAGGGTGCCTACCCATTCCCCTGACTCAGCCTCCCCCCCTAGATCTCCGAGGCCTCCTTCCAGCTTCTGGCGCCGCAGGTACGGCCCGGGCTTGCAGGCGCCCCCTCCGCGGCCCGGGCCCGCAGCGCCCCCTAGCACCGGCTGAGGTCTGCCCCCCCATGGCACACCCCTCTCCTCTGGCTTCCCCAGGACTCAGCCTTTGTTCTCACGGAAAGCCGAGCCCCTCCCCGGCCCGGTCACCTTCCCCAGGGAGTCCCCGCCTCCCGTTCCCCCCAAAACGGGCGACGCTTCCCAGAGCCGATCCTCAGGTTCCAAAGACTCCAGTTCCGTTCTTCCCTCCCCTCCCCCGCCCCGCGCCGCCAGGCGCTCCGAGACCCCAGTCCGAGCTCAGACGAGGGAAACCAGCGGGAGGGCAGGGGTGCTCCAGCCCCGGTTTTTCCCCCGGACCCAGCTGCAGCCGCGGCTGCCTCGAAATCCTGGAGCGCCTTCTAGAGCGTCCACGAGCCCCGCAGGCGGGACGCCGGGCGCCACCTGCTGGACGCGCTCGGGAGCGCGCCCGCAGACCGGGGCGCGGGGTCGGCGCGGGGGCTCCGCCGGCGCTTTCGCCGTCCCGCGGGAGGGTGGCTCGTGGCCTCAGCCTCGGCCCTTCCAGACTGTCCTCGGGCCGA